CGTCATTGTTGTTTGGCGGGTCCGGGCTGGGGATTTGAACCCGCCACCTTAGGTGTACGTGGCTGGCGCCTTAGCCGGTTGAGCTATAGGCACCGAGCCGCACCACCCAATTCTAAGAGCATTTTTGGTGTCTGCGTATGGTTGTAAAGTCATCCCATTGGACTTTCACTCCATTAAGTAAAATATATCATTGTGATCTCAGTGGTTGAGTCACAGATGTTTGCAACAGGAATCAGATATGTACTTATGTATACTGTATTTTCAAATGCATTTTGTTATATTTTAACTTCTTGTGAGGGTATGATTTAACGTTTACTTAAAGGTATGATGTGACTGCATTTATTCATTTTATAGTTACTAGGAACTAAGATTTTCAGTGAGTACAACTAGTGCTGATTCATGGCAGGAGCCATTTTGAGGATATAAGGCAACCCCATTTACACAGAGGTGTTGACAAGGCCAATACAGGCGGCACCCTGGGAAAGTGGTGAACACTTACCTGGCATGTTCCTTGGTGGAGACACTCACACTAAGCATGTAATACTTGAACCTTTTAAAATTTCATATGATAAGACTAGCTACCCTTATTAAATACGCACTGTGTAGCCATTTAAGAATTTGATTCCTTTATAGCTTGTTTAAAGGAGAATAAACTTGTCAGGGTGAGAAGAAATGTGCTCATCATGTTTTCTACTTTTTATATTTTCTGAAGCTTTGACAGCGTGGGGCCTTCCAGACACTGGAGAAATAGCCCCTACCTGGGTTAGCTAATTTATAAAGATGAGAACACCCCTCCCCCCCAGGGTTCACTAATTCCTAGAGAAGGAAAACATCTCCCCCAGGGAACATGCCTTTCCTATGCAAACCAACCAATCCAGAGCCCAGATGCCAACAACCTCCTTTCTGGGCCTTCACACTCTCTGCCCTAATCAGCATAGGGCAGGTGCCAGACAGCTAGGGACAGACAGGTCCTGCACCCCAGTGCCCACCTGCCTAATCCTGCCCACAAACACCATAAACAAAGGCTCTTGTTCATCTCTTCCCCTTGCTCCTTTTTTCTCCCAAGAGACCCTGGTCCTTCCCCACCTGGTGCTGCATAGTGGGGGTGCCCCAACCCCATCTCCTTGTAGGAACTGAGAGTAACAGATGTCAGTATCAATTGTCTCTCCATCTGTTGGCCTCTCCATACCTGAATAATAATAAAACTTAAATTTTAAAACAAGTAGATAGTCTAGGCCGAGAACAGTGGTCACACCTGTAATCCTAAATCTCTGGAGAATGAGGCAGGTGGATTGCTGGAGCTCAGGAGTTTTTTTTTATTTTTTATTTTTTTTGAGACAGAGCCTCAAGCTGTCCCCCTGGGTAGAGTGCCGTGGCATTACAGCCCACAGCAACCTCCAACTCCTGGGCCCAAGCGAGTCTCCTGCCTCTGCCTCCCAAGTAGCTGGGACCACAGGCGCCCGCCACAACGCCCGGCCATTTTTTGGTTGCAGCCGTCATTGTTGTTTGGCGGGTCCGGGCTGGGGATTCGAACCCGCCACCCTAGGTGTACGTGGCTGGTGCCCCAGCCGGTTGAGCTATAGGCGCCGAGCCGAGCTCAGGAGTTTAAGACCAGCCTAAGCAAGAGTGAGACCCCTGTCTCTACTAAAAAATAGAAAAACTAGTCAGGTGGAGTGGTGGACACCTGTAGTCCCAGCTATTTGGTCCAAGGCAAGAGGATCCTTGAGCCCAAGAGTTTGAGGTTGTTATGATCAATGCCATAGCACTCTCGTTCCAGCTACTGAGGAAGCTGAGACAAGACGATTCTTAAGCCAGAGAATTTGAGTTGCTGTGTTATGATGCCATGGCATTCTACCCAGGGTGACAAAGTGAGACTCTATCTCAAAAAAAGAAAAAGAAAAAAAGGAAAAAAAGATAAAAGAGCAACACCACCAAGCATTTTTTATTTTTTGTAATAGGGTCTCGCAATGTTACCCAGGTAGGTCTCCTACCCGCGGGCGCAAGAGTCCTCATGCCTCAGCCTCCCACATAGCTAGGTGTACAGTTGTGCACCACTAGAGCTGGCTTAACTTTTTTGACTATCTCTTCCTGCCCACAGCCATCAGAAGAAGGCCCATAGGCCTGCATGGGGACGTCATGAAATGCTCCTTGAAGGATCCTCAGCTTGGGGATGGAGCTCACCGGGCTATCTGAAGAGCTCTCACCCTTCTTTTCTTTCTTTTCTTTTTTTTTTTATTGAGACAAGAGCCTCACCATGTCACCTTTGGTAGAGTGCCGTGGCATCATAACTAATAGCAACC